TGTCATTCGACAACTCATCGCTGGCATTCCATCTCATCTCACTAATTCACTTGCTAATTGACCAACAATACGCTCAGACTTGAACTAACCAAGGTCACATTCATCCCCACATCTATTAGCATGGCATCTCGGCCGATTCTACTCTAGTGCCCGTCCCCGCCCAGCCAAGTAATTTCGAGGTTGCAGCTAGCGAAGATATTCCCGGTGCCGCAACTAATTAGTCACTGGCGCGAAGCTTCTAGTAACTATCTACGACCCTATCGATGCACAGACTTTGAGATTGAAAGATGAAGACATCCTTGCAACAGTCTTGGCAGATCCAAATCTGTGTTCACATTAACATTTTCACAACAACTTCGTACAACGGCCATTTCAGGATTTTGGGTTGGTGATGGCCCGAAATGATTTTCCAATTGCAGTAGAGCTCCACAAAATGATGAGTCCGAGCTAATCATCTCGTCATCTAAGAGTGGGGGCGCGCTGTGCAGCTACTGTGAACCCGGTCTGGATCCACTCCCCCAACCTCCACTTGGATACAACACTTGAACTTGCCAACGAAGTTGACCATACGGATGGCAAAGCGTCATCTCCATCGCGATAATCTAGCCTAGAAGATCTTGAGATTCCTCGAGGTCTCGCAAATTACCCATCAAATCGAAGGGTTGTGCATCTATCCACACCATCGCTGACAAGCTGAGACTTTGCCCTTGATTTCATCGGTACCCGCACAAAATCACAGGTAATACTGTCAGTAGTGGAAAAAGACATTCTGATGTTAGACATGATTGGAGTCTCCATCATCATCGACATGATTATCCTTCTTCTCATTTTGTATTGATGAATTAATGAACTGAGACCGTGACCGAGACTTCTCGATTTCTGATGACCGATGTGGCCCGACATGGCAGGAAGTAATATTCCATGTACAACATAAGTCCATTTTTTGAACTGACAAGTAGGAGAGCCGATATCCCTTATTGGAACTTTCTCCGTATACACAGGCAATTCAGACTATCTCTACATTGAGACGAATTCCAAACTTGATTAAATGCCACTGGCGCCTCGATGAATATGAAGTGATGAGAACGAAAGAAAGCACTACCTGATAAACCTGAAACTCATACGCCACTTTAATAACCAAATATTCATAGTATAAACCAGTAGAACACAGCAAAAGTGCCACAAGACCACTGCGCAAAGGCCCGTTACCCGTAGACATTACCATAAACGTAGCTCTACATTTGCATATGCATTGCAGGATGCATGCATACGTACATAAAAAATACTTGTCCAGTCACATAGAACTGCAAACAAGTACCGTGACAGCTGTAATCCACCCAGTTTTCAAGTCCAAGATTCCTCAGGTGCGTTGCACCTGAACGATATTCCCAAATTTCCTCGTTCTGAACCCCATCTTTAACAATGTTCACCTATCTAGAACTCCAAGTGAAAACGGCTCGAAGTAGAAATTAGTTCCGAGTTCACTCATTCCAATATACGCAATCCGCAAAGGGTCTCCTTCCTGTCTCGGCCCTGCTCCAGCTCATACAAGACAATATAAGTGAACAAGTGAAGAGATTTTTTATACATCCCGAGTATTTGTGTACCCCAACCTCCCAGTCTTGTGTACCGACCCCAGCCCAGTATCCATTAATCACCTATTCTTCCCGTAGCACTCGACCACAGTACCGCATCACAACATACCCGAAAAGATCCACTTCCTGTACATACATACCGTACATCAATGTTTCATAGCGTATAATACTAGAGAAAATGATCCGATTCCCGAGTCTCCGAGCATCTGCTGTATCTCGTACAACCTTTTCTGCGTATGATGCGCATACCCATACCTGGATCTCTCTAGTGAATTGTGCTTAGAAAAATTAAGGTTTGGAAGTGACTTGATCTCATCAGGGGATACAGTTGCATAACCTCACTTCAGCACACGGTAACAATTGATGAATCGAAATACGGAACTAGGAGATTTTAAAATGCGGTCGCGGTTTCGACCCAAACTGCTGGAAATCCTATGTTCCTTTTGACTTGTGGGCCGCTATTTTACACCTTTTCATCCCGCGCTGTCTATCTTCGCCGTTCTTGCCAATCGAAGTGCTAGTATTTCTGAAGAATAATACTATTCCGAGATACTCATCGGTGTTTCCGAAGCTCAACTACACATATTAGTCTTCAGATATCCTCCCGCTTGCTCGCTCCTTTGATTTCGAGCAGAGGAATCTTCCGGCACCTTCAGCACCTCAAAATGCATCTGTGCCACTAGATGTCCAATCACTTGTCAATTCTTTGACTGATAATCAGAGATCCCATCTACAAAAGCATAGGTGCAAACTCAAATTGGAAGATCTCGCCCATATCATATATATGAAGGCAGGATTTCGCGGCGAAAATAAGACATTGAAATCGCGAGATCTTAAAGAAGAATTAGGTTCTAGACACATATGTCGGTCAAGGTTAGTGTGATCGTACAAAGATCACGGGTCTATTGCAGATTGAGTTTGAACTAACCCTTGGATCTGGAGTCGGAGATCTTCTATCAGGGTACAAGTGTGTTGAAAGCATCTAAAAGGAAGTGATGCTTGTCACGGCCAATTCCCATAGGATCTTCACACTAGAAGTAAGCCAACATGAAACAAGCTCTATTCACCTTAAAAATTCAAGGTCTCAGGGGAGATATGATGTAAAATCTCTTATTAAGAATTAAGTAACACAAGGCCAACAACCAATTAAAATGCCTGGGCAGAATATAGTAGATAAACATATAGTAAAATAAAATTTATTCTTTCATCTCATCTCATCTCGTCGATCTCCTTGTCGTTCCCATCTAATCCGTACTCAACTCTCTACCGAGCGAGATCTCTCATTCCCTTGCCATTAAGATCTCGCGATACCATACAGATGTGTACCCCGTAATTCCACAAAAATCAAACCCTTGCTTTAGTCCAAATCCCGCAAAATGTACCCAGCACATCCATCCGGTCCTCCCAAATCAAGCCACATCAGATGCAAACAAAAGAATGAAAACAAGTATTTTTTGGTGACCGAACAACTCCTCTCCTATGTGAACGTTTAATGCCCACTGCGGCTTGGCCACTACCGTCCGTGTGTCCAGTCCAATACAAATGGAAAATGATTGACCCGCTAGCTATATAAACCCCGAATGACAAATAAAACGTAACGGAAATTGAAATAAACGAAAGGAAAACAAATTGATGTCTCAACTAATTCGACGGACTCGCTCAAATGGTATCTAGTAACGATAAAGATATATCTCCTCAACACCTCCACTACGCAGCAGATTGCAAATCAAAGCAAAGGCAGGCTAAGTAGCGATAGACAAATTGTAAAGAAACCAGAAGGCTCAAGATCTCTTCTGGCTAGATAGGAGACAAAGCGGCAGCGAAGAGAGACCGTGACAAATCTGCCAGCCCACCCTCTTATTGTAAAAAGCTGACTGTGGAGCAATAAAGCCGATCTATCGATGGACTCTCAAAGTAATGATAACCCGTTATTGACGAGAACACAGGAGTTACGCATGGGCATTCTTGTGTCCAATGTATCGCAGAGTAAGGTGTATTGACCAATCCACGCGAAATGGGCTAAAATTCGTGATGCTCGGGAGTTATTTGCATGCAAGCAATATGCACGATGCAATGCAAGCTGTGCATACTTCTCCAAATCGTGTAAAGATATGCCAAGCAAGCAAGGGTGGGTTCCATAGCTAGGGATGATTTCCAAGATAGGTAGGTAGGTCTTGTTCATCTGATATGTGTGCCAGTGATGATGCCATATGATGATATGAAACAAGACCTTGTTCGTAATTCCAGGAAAGCCATCGAATAAAGCATATGTAGCACTGATACGATTAAAAAGTCCAAAGCAAGAAAATAGGGAAAAATAACGCAAGGTAAGTGGCCAAGGGAATATTGGTATATGCTAGTACGATAAAATGCAGTAGATAGCAACTGGATTGATAAACGCCACACCACCAATGATTTTTAATAAGTCCAGCCAGAGCCATCCTGTCGCCCCTTCCCATCCAGAGAAAACCATACGCAATGAAGTCTAAATTAAGTATTGAGAGAATATTCGAATTCGGGTGTGGTAGTGTCGTAGTGCATCAGGTGATACACGAGTAAGATAGACAAGGAGTCTGAAGATAGATAGTCATGCATGTAAACAGTAAGAAACAAGAAAATAAGCGGGTGGCGGTAACATGGTGGTATGGTGGCTGTGTTATATGATGAAGATGATTGCGTAGAGTGGGATGAGTGTATACATTTGAAGAGGGTGTGGAGGATGAATGTAGCCATTAGAGGATTCAGCTGTATATCGGTATAGTATAGTCGTAATAGGTAACATGGTTGTAGAATAGTGGCAGTTGTAGGCAGTAGTGGATATTGAAGTCGTAAGAAGCCACGGTAGTATACTTAGATCCATCGAAAGCAAGTATCATCAAAAGCAACGAATAAACAGAAGTGTTTCGTGAAACGCAGGTCGCTTAGAGAAGCAAGTACAACGACAAAACAACCAAGATGTATTTTTGTATACCTTGAATGTAGATAATGGTCGTTTCGAAGGTAGTGAATATGCTGATAGGTCGATTTGTCGATAAGAGATAAATTGATGTGCAGCAAGGGTTGTCAGGGTGGTAGTGCATGGATTCATGCAAGGTATGTTGATGCATGAATGTGCATGTGAGGGTAATACGAGATAACTTCTGCCGAATGAGCATCCATCATCTTGCACTAACCCACTTTCATGCCCCATGTTAAATCAGAAACACCCCATGACCAATGGATTCCATCGCTCGAAGAACGGTAGAGAAAGAATGAAAAGCACCACAGCACAAGACACCCACTCAACGCTCTCATACACACCCACGAAATCCCAGGTTCCCTATCAGATGTGATGTAATGGGCCCATAATTTGACTTCATCAGCTTCCACCTATCATCCAATAGGACCGCGTAATCGATTCACGATTCAAGTACGCGGTATCTGCTGACTCTGCTGTTGATGTTGAAGCGAAGACAAAGCGCGATTTCCACTACCCCCGCCAGCCATTGAAGCATCTACAACGTTTCTCGGCGTCTGATGTTGTTGACCTTGACCTTGATAATCAACCCCTGTACCCGAAGTGCCGGCGGCAGTCGCGGAACTATTTTCAAGATAATTCGATAAGTCCCATGAGCCTCTAGCGCTTGCTGCTACGGCTGCCGCATTTCCAAGTTGTGCTTGATATTGTTGTTGTGGTGTAGGCATGTGATGTGCAGTTCCTTGTGGCCAATGACTCGATTCTTGTGCACCTGCAATCCTTAGATCAGGGGGGCCACCCTGATAACCTATCGATTTTTGACTTTGCGGTGAAATTGCTCTTTGCGCGGGAATGTTGGAATTGTAAGATGTAGAAGTTGTTGATCCTGATATTGATCGGGGTGAGATTCCTCCATGATGATCACTTGCGTACGGTAAGCCTGCAGAGGAAGCTTCCGTAGCGTAACCAGTGGAGCTGACAGGTGTCAGAAGGGCAGGAGCATGTGTGGGTGGAAGAGTTGAAGCAGGACTGGCGGACTATAATTCATTATTAGTATTCAGTTTGGACCAAGAAATTAATATACCGTGATGCGTGCTTACATATTTGCTGATAATTTTCTTCAAAGCTGGACCTAAATCCTTCCAGTGGAAGACCTTGACATCCTTTTCAATGTTACGAGGTTTAGGATTAGGAAACGCCATGATGACTTTGAAAAATTCCTCGCTGTCAGGCTTTCCTTTGGACACAGTTGCGGGTCGGAAACCTTCCAGATTTCTCCGTATCCTGTTCTTTTCTTCCACGGTAAACTTTGCTGCGACTAGTGATTCCAGTAGAGTAATAGTATCCACGCTTGTGACATAACAATCATTCTTTTCTTCCCAGTATATGCAGCTGATTACAACCGATTGAGGTGGTCGTTCATCGGCTGAAATAGCGTTGAAAGTTGTCGTGATCGTGCAACCAGATTGTGATCGTTTGAATTGAACAAGCCGCCTCTTTGATTCCCATTCTTCTGCAGTCCAATTGTTTACCATCATATCACCCAATTCTCCGCTAATCTCCAATTTCGCCTTATTTGCGTACATTGGGTAAGGATTGTACGTGTGACCTGCATGAGGTGTGGCACCCGGACTTGAAGATTGCAAAGTCGAAGTTCTGATCAAGGCTGGGTTGCCGGGAGACGGCAAGGATGACATGTTTGATCGATGCATCGAGTTGGATGGCAATCCAGGGCTTCGCGCCATACTTGAACCGATCGTCGCGTAGCCAGAGTTCCAACTAGATACGTGCGGAGAATGAGCTTTCAGGGTGGGTGGCGACGCTGTTGAAGAACTTCCATATCCATAACCCATATTTCTAGGCGCTGACTGGGTTGAGTAGGCACCGGATCTATTGTACTGAGGCATCATGCCACTGTAGGCAGAACTTGCTTGAAGGTATGGTGAGTATGAGGATGGCGAGCCATCACTTGAAGAGAATGCATAAGGGAATTCCTCCTTTGGCTTCAGCTGTTGGGAGTTTCGTTTGGGTGGACTCCTCATCAATTCCGCAGATTCAGTCGAGATTTTCCGCTTCCTAGTTCCCTCGAGTGAGTGTACATCACTTTCGAAAGTGAAATCCCCGACATCGACCTTGGAAATAACATCTCCATCACCTTCCATGAACATTGATACTGGTACTCTAGAAGAAGACCAATTTGTAGATGCGAATTGAGGAACTTCACAGGCCAAGATATAAGTGCAAACCCCTCCCGACTGATTCATTTTTCTTACTGAGGCCTGGCATTTTTGTTGTCCAAACACCAAATAAAAGGTCGGCGAGTTCGAGGTTAATAACTCGTACAAAGTAGTTATGTAGACGCTCACTGGAGTACCCTGACTTCCCCGCTGGGGCGAGAAAGATGTAACTTCGGGTATCGGCGTAGACCCAACATTCAAGTAAGGTCCCGATTGCTCATCGTAAGTAGTACGTGTGCTACCCGATCCATAACCTAGTGAAGTCATCTGCCCGGCATTATGGTAAACTGGTGCCGGAGTAGATGTTGGAATTGAAGATTGCGTTCCATATGAAGAGGTTTGGTATGGAAATGCATTCTCTGGATATGATCGAGAAGTTTCGTAGCCTACTTCAAAGTTAGTGATTTCATCGTTCGCATAACCATCATTTTTCAAGGTATGAAGCTGTTCTTCGCTGTACTAACCATGAAGCTGTGGTGGTTGCGGCTTCCCGTAGGCAGACATTGACAGGATATCTGTCGGGGAATCCGCCCGGGGCACAAGGGCTCCCTCGTACCCTCCTTCGTGTAAGGCTGTAGTCTCTGGTGATGGATAAGTTTCGTCAATTATTATCGGTCTACCAGAAGATAGGTGTTCGGACTGTGTGGAAAGCATTGTATTAGCAGGAGGAATATCTTTGACAGTGTAATGTTATGGAATACACGTACGTCGAACAAGGTGTAAGTTGAGTAGGCCAGTTTGGCGGTGGGAGGGGAATAAGGCTAAAAGATGCTATCGACACCACAAGGACGCTGAGTAGAAGCTTTCACGAATTGAGAAGTTCTACTATTGATTATCGAGAGTATTGTAGAAGGCTTTGGTCCATAGAAATTGTAGAAAACTTAAAGTGATGAAGTTGTGAAGAAAGCAAGAACTTGAGTGTTGTTACGCTGCGTATCTATATGAAGATTCGAGGAAATGTATTATAATCGGTCAGAGAACTCTCGATGGAAGTGGAGTATCTTGAAAGATAGACTTAGGTGACAAAGTATTGGGTGGATAGTAGTAGTCTGTTAGATAGATCTTGGTACCCTAGATCTCTTAGGCAGAGTGGCTCCTTTTCTGTTTCCGTTATTGGGAAGAAATAAAGTTCGATCGACAACGACTTAAAACGATTAATGATGAGATGCCGAGTTTAAGTAACAGAACTTGAGTAGAACAGGCTAGTCGAGGAAATAGTTTCAGAGCTGAATGCTTTTTCAACAACGCTTGTTTTTCAAGATCTTGACTAGCGATCTTAAGTTCCCGCACTCTAGAAATAACTAGGGCAGAGGCGTAAATCGTCTGAACAAAGTCTCGGGAGCATGAAACTAAAATAGTAAGTGTCGATAACGATTCTAAAGGAAACTCTGTGGATCAATCAGCCTGAGTAACTTTACAAATGAAGAGAACAACAGTATTCTCAAGATGGCTTGACGAGGGGCGTTCATAGCTTAGTCGCATTCATAGTGAGGGTAGGGTGCAGGCACGTACAGGACAAAGAAGTTGAGGTTTCTTGGATGTTCGATAGGATTTGCGGATTGCCAGAAGATATGCAGCCACCCGAATGGTCGAACCTTTTAAGAGAACCTGTTCGTTGCGAGGCAAATGTCAGTATTCCTATATCAGAAGCATGCCGTCATGACGAATGTGCTGGTGACAAGTTGTTAGGAAAGGTGGTGTAGTAGTGAGTAGGTAGTAAGTAGCATGTGCACATCAACGAGTGTATACCAAGGGTATAACGATAGCCTAGTGGTAAGGTTGCGTGGTGATTGAGGTGGAGGTTATGAACTCACCACCCTAGTCCCGTATATAGAATAGCACATATGACTTCCCAGATGCAAGGATGCGGATGGTGCGAAAATAAGAATAAATAAAAAGGGTAAAGCGTGAAGTACATACAAATGGTGGGTCTAGAAGGCACTTGCAGGTTTTATGAGTAACTTAAGTAACTCGTGCTGGGCAAAGAAGAATGGCAGTAGTCAGCTAAAGAGGTAAAGCGTGCGTGTGGCCTTTTTCTTGATTGCTCAGATCTCGTGTATGGTGCAGAGGCGGCTGATGGATGGCTGATCTGCTGAATGTGGTCACACCAATTTCAACGATTCAGGAAAATGCTTCAAACGCCTGGAAAAGGCTGGGCCAAATCAAAGGCTTTCTAACTGGTTTGTTTACTCTCCTCGGAAGAGAACACGATCAAGTCCGTTGATCGGATTCTCGGTATAGTTTCGAACTTTTGATATACTATTTTCCGGCTCTGAATTTTATCCGATTGTGTATTGTTATAAAAAAAAATTAAAAATAAACGGTTGACGTGTTGTTTGGGATGGAAATGGAGACTTCGAACCGCAGGATTCGGATGCAGGCTAGACACGTTCTTGATATGGGTAGTTGAGTGTGGCTGTTGCCTTTAGAGGATTTGGAATGAGGCACTGGTGCTTCGTTGACTCCGAGTCCGAGCAGGATAACTTTGTAAAGGTTGAGAATATGCGGTCGATATTTTGGTGTACTGCTGCGCAGTTTTGGGTGCTTGCTAAAATCTTGAAACTATAGGTTGAGATGTAGTGGGGAGAAAAAGGGCTGATCTGAAATGTAGAGGCTGTAAAAACGATATATTCTTAACGCAGAAAGGAATATATATAAAATGGTATGATATAGTAAAGAACGTGTCGGAAGTGAAGTGGCAGTGATCGCCAATTAGTACTTTTATCGAAGGTTGAATTTGATGAGCGAGATATGAAAGATGCGAAGTATGCAAAGCTTTTTCTTGTTTTGGAAAAAAAGAAACCAAAATCGTCGAGATTTGTGCATATGTGTAGAAGACCGAGGTGGACAGTATAGGATCAGAGGAGGAACATTAGAGTTTGGCTGAGAGCCTTTCTCGCATTCGACGCTGACTTCGAATATGGCTTGGGTAAGGGAGAAGAGTGTTGTTGTTTGAACTGAGATGTAGGATGAGTACTAAATCTATGACATGCATTCCCTGATGGAGGGGATAACGAATACGTTTTCTTGCATACGACCGGGTTTTCTTTCTAGGAGGAGTATAGACGTGGAGAAGATTTGGGACGTAGGAAAGTGATGACTTCCTTAGCTTTGAAGAATATGAAAGCCAAGGTCAAATCTAATCGGGTTTGGTCGTGTGCTTCACTCGATGAAAGTAGATATCGATACTGTAGGTCGGCGACTGCGGCTTGAATTGATGATGAGATCGAAATGTGAATTGTACTGTATGCCGATTTATTCAGAATGTGGAGAGGGAGGCTTTTGACATCCAGCTTTGGATTAGATTGGACCGAAGTTGCTTGCTTTTTTTTTCTTCTTTTTTTTCTTCTCTCTTTCTTTTCCTTTTTTTCGTTCTTGGGATTCTGGTGGTATGAATTTAAAAAAAAAATGACAATTAATATTATTTACTATTTATTTTTGAGAAAATAAAAAAAAGACTGGTACGAAAGTCACTAGAAAAACAATGGATGGTGTAAGTTACCAAAAAATTCATTGATGGGAATGTAAATGACAGAACCTTTACTCTAAGAGGCGGTGACATTTTTCCCTAGGGAGGTAGTGGAATGAAGACAAGCCTACAAGGAAAGCAAGCCCACTCAAGCTCAGGGTTACAAGTTCGAATAGAATTCTAACGAGGACCCTTGTTCGGAATAGGATTATGCTTTGGGCATAGGAGAACTTCCGCTTTTCGGATGAGTTTCCTCTTTCTTACAAGTCCCTGCCGAAAGATCTTTTTATTTTCCTTGAGCCTACTTCGTACAGGGAATTATATGGGGAGGGGGAGGGGGGATCGTTCTATCACAAGGGTTATCGAAATTTCGAAAAGGAAACTTTCACCCTGTTCATCATTTTCTACTTGACATCTCCCAAGCTTGGCTGGCTACTTGATAGAAGTATTTCGGTAATCAACTCGACATGGAATAGATCCACGGGTGAGATGGATGGCCGCGAGATGAGATGTTATTGTCGTACAACGTGCCTAGGTCGTAGCTGCCCCTGCTAGGCCCATCGATTCAATTGCGGCGAAGCTACTTAGTGGATCAAATAGGGCCACGACTAATGTAAAAATAGTGACAAATTAGAAGCTTTCTGTCTCTATAAGCCTTTTGAAGGCCAATGACAAGTTGAGAGATCCCTCCTAACTCCCTAGAGCTCTACCCTGCAAACTCTGTTGTCTTCCCTGAGCTGCCCTTGTTTAGAAGCTATCTAGAAGCCACGGGTACAAGGGAATCCACTGTCCGGAATCCCCCAGAACCTTGAAGGAATATACTGCTCCTCCGCTTTCGCAGAATAATCGAATGAGATGCATAGGATTTTCTAAAGTAGAAAAACAGTAGAACGAAAATCGAATGAATTGATGATGATTGAGGGGCAGTCGTTTCATACTTTATTTCGTTTCCAATTAGGGCTCAGGAATGATTACTTTTTGCTTGGGCCGATGAAGGGGTATTCTCGGTTGAGCAAATGATGTTTAATTTTGTTCTCAGCACAACACACACAAGGACAGTAAAAATCAATAGCGTTACTCTTCATTATGACGACTAACTTATACATATAACTATACATAATTCTTATTTAATCACATTCAATCTTTCTATTGCATTTCTCGTACTATACTATACACATTCATCATATTCCACATCACAACTCGTGGGAAATCAAAGAAGTGTAACAAGTACCTATCAAAAGCTCATTGTAATTCTGAAGGTCCATTTGCACTATGCAGAGCTGTACGAAGTACATGAATGTCCTTCGTATGTACAAAGAATACCAAAAGTGCGGTATCTACCGTTCATTCATGCCCAAATGAAATCTTCCGAAGAAACTATCATCTGCCCTTTGGCAACTTGCATCTTGCATACAATGCTTGCATAAATGAGCGTCACTAGACTTTGTACATACAGTATAAAAGCACCCTTCATTAATATTCATGCTTGGCCAATTGTGAGACTTATTCCCTTCCTTTACTCGGCACTTGAGAAGATCATTCATTTATCTGAGAGACTACTTTGCTACCTTGTCAAGAACTCATCCCTGGCTATCAATTCCCATTTTTTGATATAGCATCTCAGGTCTATCGATTACTATCTAAGTCCGACGATCTCATCATCTGGATCCGATTTTAGCTTCTGGTGAGCTCATCGGAATCGTCAATCTGAACTTCATTTACTATTCTCTCCCGTAGTGCTGGGTCTGCTTACTATCGTTCGTAGTGTAGGCATAGGCAATCCCCTCGGAATAGACGCTAATACCCAGGAAGTTTTTGCGCAATATTGTACAGCAGCTCGAGTTTTTTTCGACATATTCTCCTGGCAACACAAGCACAAATGACCACTTTGTCGGAGAAAGAATTCCTGCCCTTCTCTGGTCGTTTGAGTCGCTTTCGTCGGGTTCGGTCTAGAGCTGGGTAAGGCTAGCGGGATGGGCGTGGGAGGCTCGACTCTTTCAGGAATTAATGGCTGTCACTTCTCATACTGAAAAGC